AGCATCATGCGTGCTTGGCCCATCTCTGAAATATATTCTGTTGGACCTTGCACAGCATTCACTCAGTGCTTTGTATTTAGAAGGACCATCGATCACAGCACGCTCGCGCGCGGTCATTGTGGATGACCCGCCGATTTTAGACCCTGAAATATACTATTGGATGATCCGGAAGTGATCCTCCCCGATAATCTAGCAAGCAGATGATCCGTTCAATGCTCCATGCATCAGGAAATGTTCCAAGGTAGAAGAATAAGGTATCAAGAATAATCTACAATTTCTGACCATATGCTGCTGATGTTCGAATTACCCTGCATGTTCAGCTGTTGGCGGGAAACGCGCCCTTCACGTTTTCCTGCTGCTGAGTTGCACGACTTGCACCTGATGGTTTAAAGAAATGCCACGATATATTGGGACCTCAATGTCTTCAAGATTCGTATCTTATACGCTGACGTATAAGTTTTTACCTAATAATTTGCATTTTCTAAAAAATGAAGACCACGAGGTTTATGTATGTAGTATGCCTGTGTATGCTGCTGGTACGTATTAATTATACAACAGCGCAATGCAAGCGAAAGTCTGAACACGCAAGCAAAATCAAATAATTGTCCTTCAAATCCATCTTAAAATACTGTAATCATATTTTCCTATTCCCGATACAATGTATGTATACACCAGCTGTATACAGAATACATTACTGCAGGTCTGCAGCATATCAGTAATTCTAGCAGAATCGAAATTTCAAGTGCCGAACGGCATGTGTTCGAAGATAGTTGAGACTGTACTGTAAGCGACATCTACTAAAACGTAGAAGATGAGAATGCAATGTCCAATTCAGTCAACAAGATTCTTCCGCAGAAACGTGAAAATCGAGAGTCTGGTCTCCGGGTGAAGCGGCATTAACCCAAAACAAAGTTGGAGAAATGTTCCCTGGTCTTCGAGTGTGAAAGTTCTTTGACCAATATTTCTTAAGTTATGTTCGTGACAAGAAGATGAGCATATTGCTTCCTTGTTATTGACTTCGCGAACTCAACTGAGATTATTGGCGTCATAGTTGAAGTGTTACTGTACTTTTTCGAACTATCCAGCATGGTTCATCGGAACTACGGGTTTTGTCCCCAGAATTTTTGAACGTGATGTCTCTTGTCACCCGTGTTTGTGTGCAAAGCTGCTGCGGCCTGACGCGCTGGAGCAGATTGGCGAACAAAAGATTATTACCTTTACAATTAGATTCGAATCGTTCATTGTGGACGAGTAACAACGAACGAAATATTATTTTGCCATCAAATGTCTTTGTTCGCTTTAAATCTCGAAAATCTCAGCAAACTACAGTTTCTGCAGATTTTGAAGATGACGAAGAAGTAAGTTACAGAAAGATTTTCGAAGTCTTCGCAGTGAAATTCCTCAAGGCACACGTTTCTGCTTCACCAGTGGCAAGCGGAAAGGCAAAGTCTTCTCGACCCGTTTCTACGATTCCTTGACAACACAGCGCAAGGAAGGAATGCAGACCTTGTGCAGTACTTCCGGCGAGAGCCGGACAGAGCACGCATTCACCTGCGTAGGACTTCAAACGATGCTATTGAACCCTGGAAATGCGTTGTAAGACGCCATGCATCTTTCGTTGAGCAGGAAAGTGGACAAGGCATTTTTCTCGAGTAGAATCTGGCTGAACGGTGAAAAGATCTTGAAGAAATCGGAGCAGGTAATCCTTTTATTCCTGAAAATATGACATTCCCAGTTCATTCGTTGAATATTGTGTTTTGCGGTTTATATATTTTCAGTTGAAGATCGGGGATGAAGTTGACCTTGTCAAACAAATCAACTCAAGAAACCCGAAGTTCTTGGATGTTTCACGCGTCCACCAAGCCCTACAGTCGGAACGCTTCCTACCTCTGCTACCCTGTAAAAGACAAGCAGAGAACGCTAAATTTTGCGACCACTAGCTGTTGATGGTCGGTTTAGGGACCTAAGGAAGTAGTATCACACTAAGTCTGTTTTTGCTGTGTTCTGCCTAAAAATGATTGTGTTGATACAACATTCTTGATTTTATCACGTATGAAAAGCTTTTTCGATTTCATAATTTCTGTGAGCTTTGAATCTCCAATTTAAAATTTTGAAATATTTCATGTTCCAGATTTGTCAACCGAAGCCGTGATGGCGTCGGACGGATATAACCTGACATGGTCGAATCATATGGAAGAACTTTTTGTTGGAGTTCATAAACTCCGAGAATTGGATGCCTTCTCCGATGTCATTTTTCATTGCGACGGGAAAACTTTCCGGGCGCACAAAATGTTCCTCGCGGCGTCCAGTTCATTTTTCCAGAAGTTGTTCGAGAATGTACCGAACGACAAGGCGAGCGTTATCCCGATTATAGAACTTTCCTCCACCCTTCTTGGATCGATCCTCGAATTCATCTACAAGGGAGAAACGTTTGTGCCTCAAGAGACGTTGGAAGCTTTTATGACAGCTGGACGGAAGCTGGGCATCAGAGGTTTACAAGTTGATGAATCCGTGAAAACAGAAACAAGGAGGGAATCTCGGCCTTCGACCCCATCAACCGTTCCAGATAATCCAGTGCAAGAAGATCCCAAGCGACCGAGGCAATCGTTGCGTGCAAAAAGAAATCCCCGCCCCCAGTCTTCAGTTGACGATGCTCTCTTATGCAAATCTCAGAAACTTGACGAATCATTGTCAGTCCCTGATGCTGTTGTGTATGCGTCAACAGGAGTGAGTCAATTTTTCGAAAAACTAAAAAAATTAGGCCTTGACACCTGCCTTTTTTTCATTTTGAACGTAGGCCTCAGATGTGCATCTACCAGCTATTGATCCCGAAACGGCTGGACCTTCTACTGAAGCGATCGCAGGAATGGAAGAATTCCATGATGAACATGATTTATTGGTTAAAACGGAGCAGTTCGACGGAGGCGAAGGGCTCGAATACTCGAACGATGATGCGGAGGCGAGTTGAAACTCCTTTTACTGTAGATTTCTCATTACAGATTTTGGACTTCAATTAATGCTGAAGTTTCGATTCATCGAATGGAAATTTGAGTACTGTATTTCTTCATTTGAACTTGAGCCGTTGTACTTTATTTATCTCTGATCAACTAGATATGACGGCCATTGCACTTCGAAATTTGCAGGACTGCTTGTCATACAGTTTCACGTTGTCTTTCGATTTTTTTCAATCCATCGCCGGGATTTTGTTATTTAATTGTGTAATATTTTATTATCTCGTAGAAAGCGCTGGATCATTATCTCCGATAATCTGAGTAATCATCCTTCGGAGTTCTTTCAAGGTAAATTCAAATTTGAGGATGTTATATTTTGAGCATTTTCATGCGAATTTTGACTGCTTGTCTTCGAGTGCATTTGTTATCGCAGTGAGATTAAAATTCTAGGAAGTGCTAATGCGTTATTTTATTGATCACTTCGCTTTCATAACAGTGGGGAGAAGAGGAAGGCTTCGAAGATGAGGGGCAATACGAGGAAGGAGATGCTGGTCAAAAAATGTTCGTCGGTCGAGCACCGGGTGATGGTGATCAAATGCCTAGCCAAATTCCTCCTGAAATTTCGAAAGACGTGAGTAATGCTATCGTATTCTTCTTTCTTGCTTTTCCAACTTAAGTTCGTGTCATGCTTCGGGGTTTTCGAGGCGTATTTCTTCTGTTGGATTCATTTTCAACTGAGAGCAGCGATACGTTTTTCAGACAAATACTCTTATATTTTGTACAGTATTAGCGAGCTTGAAGTAAGCTGGAAAAAAATTTATAAATTAACGCCTCGAATAACCGTAGTAGCAAACGTGTCATGATATGATTGGCTCGGTCATGTTTTCGTGAACCCATATGCCTCCTAATTGCCGTCGTCGGCATACTCATTCCAATCCAAATCGTATTTTGTGTTCATGACCGAACATACGTATCAGGACATACTTTGCCTCGAACTACAGCCTGGAGAGGGAGCGGAAGCGAATTCGTGTTCATGGTGATCCCCAATACTGTACTTGGTAAATACATACATTTACTGTACCAGTATCGTTCAGAAATTTTCAGGAAATGCTACCTGCAGTGAGAACTTTCCCAGTGAAATGTTCAATTCGCTAAGAAGCTCCACATCAAAATCTCTCCAGCTCTGCCCCTTTTTTCCCCCGGGGGAACATTCGTGTTATGGCGTGCGGTGCATCACAGATGTGTAAATTCAATGCAAGCGTTTTCGAAAAAAATATTTTTCATTCCACCGCGAATCAAGGTGGTTAGTTAATTGCAAACGTATCCACTGCCTCCCCGAAGGCGAATGTACACTTGGTAACTGTACAATGACACTTATCAAAACCCTCATTGAACCTGATCTTGTTCTACTACAAACCCCTCCAGTATTTTGAGCGCCTTAAAGAACTAGTCTTTGTTTAATTTTGTGCAGAAAACCGAAAGTCAGCGGTTGTTACTAGCTTTGACTGCGGTTTAGTCCAGATAAACCCCCAAAACCTGAGCATGAAAGCTCCGTTTGTGGAAGACAATTTGTATCAAAACATAGCACTGTAGTTTTGTTCCTTGCTTTTTTGAATGGAATGCGTGGAAACGAAAGTTTCAGTCGATTCACTCATCAGCTCCTTTTTATACATGCTTTTTGAAACGTATGTTTATTGGGTCAGTTTCGTTTTAAATTGACGTTTATCTGTAATTCTTCAGGGTTGAATAGAGTTAGCAAGTCAAGTTGGCACGTAAATAAAAATTGCTCTGAATTTGCTTTTGTCTTCGAATAAGTGTCGCTCTCAAAATTCTGTATACCTTATGTATTCTACTGTACTTGACTTTTACTGACGAGCAAACTGCTGTATTAAAAAAAAGCGATTAATTTTTGATATCACAAGAGTTGTCTCAGACTGAGTCGGTATGAGAATTTTATGTTTTTCATGCGTTCTGGGGAAACATGGAAGTGCATTTTAATCAACCTACTACTAACCTACTAGCGTTGCATGAAAGTGAAATCTAAGTTTTGGACTAGAACAAGATGATGTTTGGGGAGGTCATAAAACTCGCGGAATTTCTTGATCAGAAACAAATTAAAACACGTCTTTTGGCTTTCAGTCGCCAACAATGATCGAAACTGACGCCAAATCAGGGGATAAACCCCCAAAACCTGAGCATGAAGCTCCGTTTGTGGAAGACAATTTGTATCAAAACATAGCACTGTAGTTTTGTTCCTTGCTTTTTTGAATGGAATGCGTGGAAACGACGGTTTCAGTCGATTCACTCATCAGCTCCTTTTTATACATGCATTTTGAAACGTATGTTTATTGGGTCAGTTTCGTTTTAAATTGACGTTTATCTGTCATTCTTCAGGGTTGAATAGAATTAGCAAGTCAAGTTGGCGCGTAGATAAAAATTGCTCTGAATTTACTTTTGTCTTTGAATAAGTGTCGCTCTCAAAATTCTGTGTACCTTATGTATTCTACTGTACTTGACTTTTACTGACGAGCAAACTGCTGTATTAAAAAAAAAAAGCGATTAATTTTTGATATCACTAAGAGTTGTCTCAGACTGAGTCGGTATGAGAATTTTATGTTTTTCATGCGTTCTGGGGAAACATGGAAGTGCATTTTAATCAACCTACTACTAACCTACTAGCGTTGCATGAAAGTGAAATCTAAGTCCACAGAAGTGCTTGTCTGTGAGCGAAGCAAGAACATGTACTCTTGGTACTTTATATTGTTGAATGATTCTTTCTTGTTTGAGACTCCATTTTTCCGAAAAGTCCGCGAAGTTCTAGACCACCCCATAAAGAAAATTTCAAGATTAGTGGGTCCGCCGTGTTTTCGCGAGGGAATCCAATAACTTATCCAGGTTGAGTTTGAGGTACAAGTTTCTCGGAGCAGCCCGGTCGGTTGACTCAGCAGTTTGTCTTGCTTCCACGATGAAAGACTTGACTTGCGTCGGATGATTGAGTACATTTCCGTAGGATGCCCTGAGCAGCGACGTGTGTAACTCGGACGAATCTGTATCGAAGCTCTCGGCTTCAGTGTTTGGAGCTGGTGGAAAGAGTGGCTCGTTTTATAAATGTTGTTCGTTATCACTGGATGAAAGGCATGATTTGATTGGAGATCGGCATTAGGATTTTGATCATGGTTCTGTTGTACCAGTTTTGTTTTGTTTGGAGAGGAGAAAGGGAGAATTAGAGATTCTATGCTCGTACTTCAGAAGGTAAGCAACGTTGATCCTACCTGCTGGTTCATGTCGTAATGCGTTGTCTTTCAATCTTGATTCTCTCTTCTCGTCCTTTGAAGGCGAATCCGACGTTGTATCTGTAAGTAAAATAAGACAATGTTGGAAGATTAACGAGCAATTTTTTTTTCTTCTGGACAATAATACAGTTTAATGAAATATTGATCAGACTAATTTTCTTGAGAGCTTGAGACAGTGAAATCATGAAACGATGCTGAGCGAGAATTTTCCAGGAAATCAAGCGAATCTGTAAACGTTATGAATGCAGTTGAGCCGTCGTAACTTGAACCTTCCTAAGTCGTAAACCTCTCTGTTCCGATATTTTTTAAAATCCTCGTTTTCATGTTTTCGATACCAATGTTATAAGAACCTCTTGAACTCGAAGGCTTTCCCACTCCAACCCTCCCTAACTCGAATTCCTGGATACCTCTGGGCTATTATTCTTGGGGACCATTAAGTAGAAAGACAAAACAGAAACATATTTATTCCTTATTTCAAAAGGAAGTTACTGACTAATTGGTCGAGTGTACCCTTGCCCCGAAGTTCAGCATCCTGTTAGTTAACTTTTCGAGATTATTAACGCCCAGTTGATCATTGATATTTCTTCCAGAAAAGCTGGTTTCTCTATCTCGACTCTCGCTTAGTCGATTTTTTTTTGGTTTCCTTGAATTCGACTTGAAGAGGTCCAAAAAAGCTGGTTTCTCTATCTCGAATCTCGCTTGGTCGATTTTTTCGGATCTCCTTGAATTCGACTTGAGGTCCAATTGTATTATAGGTCAAACAAATTATGGGGTATTAATAATTTAGAATGGCTCAAGATAAGCCAATTATGATCTTCGCAGTGATGGGCAAAATAATTATCGTTAATAGATGAACCAGAGTGTTTTAACCTCCCAAGAAAACTGACCGTCAGTTTCCGGTTGCGATGATGTGTGCTCTTCTTGGGGCAATGGCGTGGTTCCGAAGTTGTCCCGCTCTTCAATCTGAACTTCTTGCGAGGCTTCTCTGTCGGGATGATGTGTCCAGTTTTGATGGACTTCAGCATTCTGAGCTTCTTTCGAGGAATCACTGCAAGAATGACGAGTCCAGTTTAAAGCAACAACTTATTCAAAAGTAAGACTTTTGAATAATCTCACGTCGTCTCAGTAGTTGTCTGGACGATTTCTTGGCTTCTATCAGAATCAGTTGTCGTTTCTTGAACATTTTTCTGCACTTCATCATCAGCTTCGTCGTTGTGAATATCGGCTTCCCCTTCATCGTCATTCGAGCTGTATTGCAGACGTGGATTACATCCAAATGCATTTATGCATTAAAGCTTGGAGATTTACCTTATGGATTCTGTTGTGCTTGCAGCAGCGTTGGTGCTGTCAGAGGTGTCAAATTCAGTGGTTGTCCCTCCAATTTCCCTGAAACGGAATCGGCAGTGCAGTAATTGATGTAGAGGAAGAAATCGAAAGCATGTGTGGGTTAATGATTGCGACATGAAGCAGAATAAGACATGATTCTTTCTGTTTCTTAGAAAAAAAACTGTTTTGGACGGACGAGACGCGGGAATAATTTGCTAGTGGGACATATAAAATCACCTGTAAACACTTCAAAAATAGGGGAATGAACTGGACATCGGGTGTTGCGAAAGTTGGGCGACTTTTTTCTCACTCGAGTCTGACTATTGTATTTTTATTGAAACCCTTCAATTTATGCATTTTCTCCCGTGCTAATACTTTATTCATTGATTTTAATTTTTTCGGATAGAAAAAAATCAAGTGAGGCCTGGTAAAGTGATTAAACATGTTATGCAGAAATATATTGCCCATGCAGACCTCGGAGAATATCAGGCTTCGTTCACGCGAAGTTGTCCGCAGACGAGTTGAACGATTTAAAAAAAAAATACAGGTGGACTCTCTGGATAACGAAATCGAAGGGAATATAAAACATATCTTTGTAGGGAGAATTTTGGTGTTGAGAATTCCTATAGCACTGGAAAAGAACTCCGGAGACGAAAAAAATCTTGTACTTTTCTGTACGTTGTCGACATCGCTGTCGATGAGGTCGTCGTAGATAGAGTCTACCTGCATTCTGCATAGTGCAGGTATTACGGTATTTCAGTATTTTAAAACAAAAGGCTTATGCATTTTCTGAACTCTTAACCTGACTATTTGAACGTATGTTGGAGAAAATGTGCGAGTTAGAAATCTTTATGGGAGGATGTTTCTTTTCCCACTTCGCGTGTGAATGAGCGCCACCCAGAAGCGACTAGAGCTTCGGGTGAAACGTGTTGCTTATGTGGAGTGACATCTATCCACATGTAGAGACATTACGGTAATGTGAAAGACATCGCATAGGTGTCCCTCACACTAGATATATTGTACCATACAGTATTGTACTAGATTATACAGGTGCAGTGTGCAGAACTACAACATATATAGATTCTTGCATGGTTCATACTTACTCTTCGCTGCTACTGCTCTCCGAAGAGTCATTTGGTGACCTCGTTGTCGACGAATCCGAAGCATCCCAAGTGACTTCTTCGCTGCTGCTGCTGCTACTTGAATTACTGTGATCCCTCAGATTTCCTGTCGTCGTTGTCTCCGAGATATCATCTTCTCCAGACAAATTCGCGAGGGAGGTGGACTCCACGGAAGAGTCGACATTTTCTGTAGTCGTTTGCACTTCAGAGCTCGTCTCGGAAATTTCGGAGGTGATGGTTGTTGTTTCTGAAGAGTCGTTTGTGTGTCTCACGTCATCTGAACTCACTGTACTAGTTTCTTCTGTGGTGGATTCGTTGCTTGAGTCTTCCGGTACCCCTTCCTGAAAATCGTCGGGGTTCGATTGGGGATTCGCGGTTGTTTGAGCTGGCTGCTCTTCTGCTTCGTCATCGGCTGTCGAAACCACTTGTTCGTCTTTAAGTGGCCTAGCCTCTGGTGTTTCCGTAGCTTCTTGGCTCTCCACTGTAGTGGTCTGAGTTCCTTCATCATCGGGTTCTGAGTCTTGTGATTGTTCAGTTGTTGGTTCTAGAGTTTCAGTGACATCTAGGACTTCTCGAGAATTTGTTGCGGTGGTTATTTCTGGTTCGGGCTTTTCCTCAGGCTGCGAAGTAGCTTCGATTTGCTCGTCTTGCTTTTCGGAAACCGCATCGTCTGTTTCCGCATTTAGAACAAGTTCCACGATTGAAACTGCTTCATCAGCCGCCGTCTGGACTTGCTGTAAGAGTTTTTCAGCTGAAAATGCTGGCGAGAGATGGAGTTCCTGGTCTTGGATTCTCGGTTTTTCCGCCGAGTTCACGGTGTTGATGGGAAGACTGAGATTCCTGCGAGAATTCGAAAGCGAATTCAATTTTGTATTTGATTAAAAATACAGCAGTAGGATTCAAGCGGAATACGAGCCTTCCTCTCCGAAAACCAGTTGCAGATGGCGGATCAACCGGTGCTTTCGTTATGTCGTTCGTTGCTTCATCTCTTGATTCGGCATCTGTGAAAGCGTTATTTCGTGTTGTTGCTGTTTTTATTCGAATCTTTACTTGAAATGGCCGTAAGCGAGAAGGAGGGAAGTTGAACGAATTTTCATTACTATGAACATTACTTCAAAAGGACGCTCACTGGAAAATCGAAGTTTAAACGATAATTTTTTTTGAAATTGTGCTCAAAAGGCGATGCTGGTATTAGACAAGCCCGAAGGGTTTGATATCAGGTTAAATGAGATTAGGTTATTGATACTTGGTCGTCGTAGCACTTGCTCTTTATTTTAAGGAATTTAGCATCAAATACAGTACGTGCTGTTTTGATCTTTGATGCGGTTTCTGTGCTTTGATGATAGCTGTCTAGAACTTGATTTTTTTCGCATTTTAAGACTTGTCCTTTTGTGAGAGCTATCTTGGAACAATACAAAATCGTCCCTAGTGACGTTACAGTCATTACCCCGGAATGCCACTGAACATACTTCTTCTCAATATCGATTGGTCGGGAATCAACTCTCGTATCTCTACGAATATTGAGTTGGTGACTTTTTTGAAGATGCTCTTGTTCGGACCATTCCCCGTATTTATGCGAGTACCACGCGCACATTTATTCCAGAAATTGAGACAAAATAAGTTTTGTGTGCGTGGTACTCAGGTATAACTTTTCGGAAGGGAAATCCAGGAAAACCGTGCATGTCGCATTCGATTCCTTGACATTTAGGAAAAATTAAGAGGAAATGTATGGCACCAAGTTTTCCTTTCCAGGAGAAATGATCGTCAAAGATGTAATCATTTCAGTTCGAGGCTCGAGTGTAAGGGAAAAAAAAAGGATTCATCTAAAAGAGGAAGCTATGAAATGCAAGCAAAGTTTGACTGCTCCTTTAGACAAAGATAAACAGGAAGACACGCTGCTAATGCAGAAGAAAAATAGATCCTAACTGAAAAGCCTCAAACTTGAATAATTTTTTTATTTTAAGCGAACAAAAGCTTGGGTGCGCATCTTACCCTGAGGGAAAAAAGTGGGGCGCGAGTCTTACTCGAGGGCGCGTGGTACTCCAGTTCTCTAGTACAGTAGTCTATTGCAGTGTTCCCAAACCTTTTTAGACCCGCGGACCGGAAAATTCCCAAAAAAATTTCTGCGGATCGGCGAAGTCTCATGAAATTTTGCAGACTCCCAACTTTTGTGCTTAAAAGACTTCATGGCAGGTATTTAAAAGTTTCTGATTTTTGAAAAAAAAAAATGAGTGAAGCACCACTGAAGCAGGCGTATAGTGGAATGGCTTCAAAATTAGAAAGGTGGGCTTGAGGAAAGGTTCCTCAGAATGAAAAAAACTTGAAATTACCTGTATTTATTTCTGCAGGTGTAAATTTGTCTGAGATTTCAAGAGAAAAGCCAACTTTTATTTTCATTAGATAATTTCAACTGACATTGTCCTTCCAAAATTTTACGTAAAAATAACAGAAATTCATCCCTACTTTTGATGCAGATGCCGGTCCGCAGACCACGGGTTGGGGAACACTAGTGAAAACGGTGCATCTGAACTGATTTGTACTTCTCGGTAAGATTCAGTTATTTTTGCTCAAGGATGGGCAATTATTTCAAGGTATTTGACGCCTTTTTTGAAGTAAATTATGACTCGTGAGAAGTGAGGGTAACCTCCATTGGGCAGGACTTCAGCTTGAAGTCCAGCTGCCAGTAAACGAGGCTGGATGAAGAAAAACCGCAGATGGGGTTCGTCGACGTGGACGATGGTGTGATCCAGGCCGTGGGAGGTCCTCACTGGCACCGTCACGTCGCTGTGGAAATGCTCGTCCCTGCGTGAATTCACAGTCGAATGAGCATAGGTCTCATACTCGCGACGCTTTCAAAGAAAAGCATAAACTTACTGCGCGGTATGTTCTTCTGCAACCGTCGATTTCCGAATGGATTCCGTTGGCGGTCGAGTGACTCTCTGACTTCGCAGAATATCGGCACGCGAATCGCGAAACGTTTTCCGGATCGTCTTTTGGGGAATCGCTGAAAACGGGGGAAAAATGTTAAAGAAAATCATGAAATAAACGGAAAGTGATCCTTCTCCTGTGTTCTATGTTGAGTTTGTAATTCTAGTCATTTCCGCGCACCCGTTCCTATCTCAGAGTTGGTTCATTTTACCTGATTTTGCTGGTAGCTGGTGGATGATCTGACCTGATCATGGAATTACGAGAATTGTGTGATTTCCGCGCTATTTTCTACAGTCCCGAAATGCATTTAAATATTAATTTTTTTATTTTTCGAAATTGGGGAACTGCATCTGTTGGAATTTATGTATGATTTCCCTAAGGTGTCTGCGAATCTAATAGACCCATTGTACCATAGCAGCATTGCAAGCATGTGCATGCAATTGATTCATAACAAATATTTTCATAATCATCATAAATCGAGTGACCCTCTCTTCGGCAAGGTCGTCTTTTTTAATCATTCGTTCCAAGTCAGGTAGTCCGTTGAAATTTAAAAAGATAAATTTAATACAGACACTGCTTTGTAGTCCCTAGGTTTACCCGGAAGTAAAGCGTGGGCACTATGAAATTTGAATTGCCCGCGGAATCAAAATCTTCTTCGGAAATATTTTCTCCAAGTGTTTGGTGGTTGTATGTGTTTATTTCTACGTGCAAGTTTTCGTTTGGGTAAAAAATAAATTTGTGTTCGAATGTATCACCGTGATTTGTAAGCAAAGATGATTCGTCGTCTGAGACGACAGATGCAGCTTTGGTAGCTCGGGATGGTCGATTTGAGTCGGCATTCCGTATGCTCGCGATCCTCAAAGCGCGTTCTCGTATGATCCGAGACAGAGGGTCGGGATCGGCGAAAAACTGGACGTCTGCTAGGCAAATTGGCAAAATTGCTGGCAGCGCCAGCATGACGAAACTTTCCGTATGCTCGCGATCCTCAAAGCGCGTTCTCGTATGATCCGAGACAGAGGGTCGGGATCGGCGAAAAACTGGACGTCTGCTAGGCAAATTGGCAAAATTGCTGGCAGCGCCAGCATGACGAAACAAAGTCCTCTCAATTCCATTTCCCTGCAAAAAAGAAAAAAAAATCGCCACGGGAGTGCTAAGGTATTCCTGCGAAATTCAAATTCATTTTACGGCCGTTCCTGTTGATGGTCTTTTGTTCAAGGATAAGAAAAAAGATGAGTCATCGCAAATGTTGAAGCCGAGTGAGAAATTAATACTCATGCTGTTTTGGAACACGCGAAAAATTCGGTGCAGTTCACAAAAGATAACTCCTTGGATGCAGAATGCTTCTTCAGTTTTTTAAAATCTTTGCATCATATATATTCTTCTTTGCTAAGAAAGGGAAAATCCTGCTATTGAAGGCATGGAATCATTTCTCGTTTGTGTGTGACGGACGCTTCAGGGGAACATATATATTTCGTCGCAGATTTCGTTCGAACTTGAAATTTGCCATGGTAATGGAAATTTTCAGTCAACATTTCATTGCAGTACCTCTGAGAAATTTTCCGTGGTAGCACCGCGTCATTCTCGAAAGTGTAGGTTTTTAAAATTTCTCCTCTGGTTAGAAATCTTTAGTGAATATTCCGCATTTTTACTTTTATCGCATATGCTACCAGAGTGTCTAGATGTCGCTGTCATTGGCAGCAGCATTTGTGTTCTATTTTTGAGTTGATTCAATTTTATTTGACTTCGGGATAATCCTATTCTCGTGAACTTCACTAAAAGACGGTAGCATCGGTGATCCGACTGGATTCTCGGTGATAATCTAAAAAAATGTTGTGGGCTTAAGTTTTCGTGGCATTTTTCCAGATTCAAGCAATTATTCCTGAGTACCTCTTCATTTTTACTCTTCAGTGTATTCATGCTAAAATTCGCAATTCAGCGAAAATGCTCATTTTTGCATAGTAACGTGTGTAAGGCTTTTATGTCTTGAGGTGTATGGGGAATGTGTGGCATGTAAACGCAGTCCGAGAAACGGCATTCTTTTTTAAACGCGTAAAAGAATAGTACAATATTTTGTAATCATGTATAATACAACTGAGAAAATGTTCGAATGACACGCTTTAATGTCGTCTACAGTGAACATAATTACTCGCTTGCGGTCGAAGACTGTCCCCGAATTTTTCTTCTTCTAACATGTCCCAAGACTGCCGTCGAGATTGCCCTTGGCACTGGAAGGTCAGCATTCGTGTGCGCGGGCGTCGATATGATTGATTACGATTTTATTGATTGCCACCGCGGATTCGGTGACGCTTTATAGCCTCGTTAGGTGCCCCGAAGAAATGGGTTATTATCATTTTTATCGCGATCTTTTCCTTTTTTTTGCGTCGAAGGCTGTGTCACTTCCATTGTGGCGAACATGGACCGAGTCTTCGACGTGGCCGTGAGGCTATTTATCCCCATCGGTGTCTGAAATTGCCTTCCCAGGGTACTTTATTGCATTGCTAACTGGATTTGACTTGCCATGTTTGGCTGCATTTAATGGAATAGCGAAGTGCCTCATGTGCTTGCAGTTACGCGCTCAATAACTCGGGGTTGTATAGTTTTCTTGGTGCTGGTTTTTTTTTTGTGTGCCTCGAAAGGTACTATTGAGAATGCGTTGGATTTGAGTGGCAATTTCCAATGTGCGACTCCTGGAATAGTTGGGTCTTTGTTTTAAGAATATTTGATTTAAATTAAATATCTACACGGAGGACAATCTGGAAGTTGGGCAATTTTTTTGGAGTTCAAAACCATGCACACGAAGCGGATTTATTGAATAATTTGCTAGGCATCGGACAGGCGTACGAGACTAGTTGGTAGAAATTAATTCAAAAATATGTCTCCACTGAAGAAATTCTCCCTCTGGGAAATCTGTCGCTTCAAAACATCGAGAAAATATAAATTTGGACATAAGAAAAAGATTAATTTGACGCTTCATTGAAGAGGATTCATGAAAATTTTTGATAATGCTACACAGTGATGTTAGTCTTTCCTCAATAACGGCATTTGTTTGCTCTCTACCGTGAATTTTATACTGTAGTTCAAATGCCCCCCGAACTTCATCGTATTCAATATTTTTCGTTGATCATCTCATCAAACGGAAGGATCATCGTATAGTCATTGTTAATTTGCATTTTTTATGCGAAAAAAAAGGGTAGATATGATCGGAACTGGTGAGTATTTTTTTATGATTCGCAAGATTTGAGAGTTGGAAGCCTTGTAACGATTAGGCAGCTATATCTTGGGATAGTAAGAGGTACGGAAACTACACGACATGGGGGACGAGGACAGCTACTTTTTCCTTTGATTTTGATGGAATCGATAGTCATCTCGAGTACTTTTTTTTTCACCCACACGTGTTCTCGAAATATCCTTGTCCTTGTAATTTTTTGGCCAACCGGTTTAATAGAAGATTTTTGTTGGATAATCGCTTTTGTTCCGAATAAAAATACTCCTGATTTTAATAATACTCAGTTAAGTTAGAGCCTTTAATCGGCAGTCCGTTTTGTGTATTGATATGCGGGATGAAGTTTCTTGTTCCTTTTTTATTTTTCAGTTGCGTGACTCCTAAACATTTTCAGACCTTTTATTCCTGCTCACGAACAACCTGCAATATTGTAATTGGAAACACGATTCATAGCTGTTTCTATTTTTGAGTGCACCTTGAGGGTGATAATGAATCGATTGAAGAAGTTGTCCTTGTTTTATGAGTCGATTGAGTTGGGAAAACTCTTTGGATTGTATCTTGATAAAGTATCACTGTGCTATCCTTTTTTTTACCGTATTTTTCTGTCGAGTCTAGCATCCAAGGAAATTCTAGAGCCGACAAGGAATTCCCACAAGAGTCTTAATTACTGATTTGTAATGCACTTGGTCGTAGTGCAAGATTTTCGTGGCCATTCCTTGGATTTACTCCAGATTCTTGAAACTGCAGCATTTAATTATTAGGTCGAGGTTACTTTTTTCATATATTTTTTTAGCCATTTTTAACGTGTATCAAAGTATGCCCATTTTTTCAAGGAACAAGATCTCGTGTGCTTTGTTGCATGAAAATTGTTCTGAGTTGGTAGCCCTTCATAGGATACGAGGATTCGAAAAATGAAAGTCCATGTTGATGTGTATTATTCATTAATAATGAGTATCAGACAATTGTTGTTGCGTATTGCGTGGACACTTCTGATTGGTTAAAAGAAAAATTGTATTCAATTATCCGATGATTGAAAGAGGTGATTGCCGGTCTTGTAGAAAATTATGTCATGGAATGGAAAGGAAAGGAGAGTCGTATGCCGATTGTGGTTATTCCGTTCCCAAGTCTTCAAACAGCTGAAAGTTGAATCTCGTTCACTCAAACCTCTACAAGTCGAATACCTTGCTGTATAAAATTTATTTTAAATCCCTGTCTGAATTCTATCAGAAACAATTCATTAAAAATGTTTCCCTTCAATTTCAGCATCCAGTCCACTCCGTTGGAAAGCAATTTTAGGGCCCCGAATATCATCCATTCGAATCGCCTGCAATTCTTCTCCCCCCCCCCCCCCCCCGACAAAAAATGCTCGTTTCCGTAACTCGAAACCTCCCTAACGCGAATTTTTTTTCGCTGGGCCCTCCTCGAAATTCCACTTGAAAAAGTACGACTGAATTTGCAAGCCGTTTTTTTGCGGGGATATTCGATGTGAGATTACTCTTGATATTCAAGAACTTGAAAAAATCGACGGGGTCTGAAACGATTTTTGACGGATATCAAACTGAGAAACTCGAGGGATTTTTCAATAACCATCAAAAACAAAACGAAATTCGTAGGAAAATTACGCAGACAAATAAAGGTCCTGATAATGTTACATACATTTTTTTTTTAGACGGATGAATTAATAGGATCGTAAAATTTTTTATGGAAGGCGTTCGGAAATGGGACAGGAATGCTACCCCGGATTAGTTCGCTTTCTCCTTGCCATCCCTTGCTAATTATTTAGCTCTTTAAATTATTGGATGACTGAAGCGTTACTCAAGTCAAGAGCTGCGATCTGAAATTTCTATGCTGTATCATGAAAGTATTCCTGCTAAGGCTGCTTTTGTATGAAAATCTGGCGAAACCTGGTTTCCGTTGTGATAAATGTCCATCGTAGTTCAAACCCCGCACTCGTGAACTGGTCGACTTTTTGTTGATCCAACGTTTGATTTATTTCAAGTCTGTAAATACAGTATTTTAGTGCAGTTCATTCGTTGTAACAAAGAAGTAAATATTACCCGTGATTGGAAAAGTGTGTTCTTCGAATTCACGCGTGGTTGCAGTGACAGAGCGAACCCGCTGTTTGTCGGCACGCCAGCAAATGAGTCGCAAATGCGAATCACGTCGAAGTGCGTGCATGTGTGACGCTGATGGAAATGTAACACGTGAAAATGAGGAGTTCATTATCCCAGCTTTCGCCCGCGTGTACGTTAATTAAGTCTCGAAAGACGGACGCCATTGCGCGAAAAAAAGGGTATTATTTTTTCGATGTGGAGCCTTTTCGGAAGTTCGTCAAGTAGGACGAGGCAAAGTGAACGTTTTTTGGTCGTAAAATAAACGCGAAACTCGATTCGAAGGAGGGATTCCTTACGCAAGGACTAGATTTTTCTGCTTCTGAGGGTTTTTCCTTGTATTTTTTTTTTATTGTTTCCATCAGCGGAATTTTAGTTCGCGTGGAATTAACCGGCCGAGTATCATTGGAAACAATTAACTCACGGTCGGATTGACGAGGAATTTTTACTCTGGCGTGGTTTCGTGGCTGTGAAGCAACTCTCGTTATGCGTGTCTTCTCTTGTCTTTATCCCCAACGACCCTTTCTGAGTTGTGAAGTTTCTGTCAGGATTGAAGAAACACTCGTCGTGTAAATTTCTGGATTTTTGTATATTGTAATTCGTTGAAATAAGCTCCATCTATTCATACAAGCCGTCACACCGCAAGGGCTGTATTCAATTTTCCAGATCGCGAAGTCTAATGGAAAATCGCGAACGAAATTTGGAGCGATGAATCAAGGAAGATTGTGTCTGAAGATTTAAATCCGAGATATTAAATTCGTTGAAATTTGTTTTTTTTTTTCGTGTCTCGGAATCAAGATGTCAGTGTTTGGACTTCGATGATTGGTCTGTTTCCACATAAAGTGAGTTGAAGCAAATATCCAGCTTTTTGTTGTCCTGGAAGCTCATTTTTCTCTATATTTTTTTCCCTTCCACATTCTTCCCCGCTCAAATTTTATAATCGGGGAATATCTTCGTAGAGGAGCTACGTAGGCATTGAAGAATTTTTGCTGGAATTTTGAGTAGATTCGTTGAATGGATGATGTTGATTTGGAAAAATTCGTTATATACATATGCTATTTTGTAAAACTTGATTCAGTCCGTTTTAATTGTGAAGGATCGACACGAAATATGGAAGAAAAGGATCACCCCACATTCAGGCGCGGACGGATTATGAAAAGGAGAATAATCTAGGAAAGTACTAACTGTTCTCTGATTTTTATGATGAAACTTCGATCTTCATGCAGTTTTTTTAATTCTGCAAGTTGATTAAAACTCGATTTTTAGTTGATTTTGAAATTTAAAGACCAAGTATTTGTGCCTTTTATTTATTGTGTGCAGAACATAATGAATACTGTACTCCGCGCAGAAATTGTGCATTCTTTTTGAGGGAGAAACTTGCGTATACCGTAATCATTCCTTGCGGATAAAAACATGACGAGTATTCAACCGGTACCGTGTGAACCCAAAATCGTGGATTTCCATGCTTTAAAAAATAACCTCGATTTAATTTCACCGTTTGTCTCGCCACTTTTTGTGGCACTAAGCGAGGGTGGCCCTAAATTGAGGGTACTCGTGTGAGAGAAAGAGCTCCAGTTCGGTGTTTCCGTTATTGGAAAAATGACCTTGTTTACAGAATTTTTAGGCCAGTCAGGGTTTTTTTTTATAAGAGGAAAAGGCAAAAATAAATAATTTAAAGCACAAGGGTACTTTTTCATATTTTATTTCAGAATATCTATCAAGGTAGAATGTGTTGGATTTTTAAGCATGCGAGGTTTTCAATCATTGAAGCATACATTCTCTCTAAGGGTTACTCCAGGTCTCCCAAGGCAATTCCGCCATTTTCATCAACAGCCACCAAAGTCGCGGCTGTGAAGGCGGCTGTTGATGAAAATGGCGGAATTGCCTTGGAAAACCTGGAGGTAACCCTTAGAAAGAATGCCACGTTGATTTCAAAAATTCTGAGCGGAAAGCTGGGCTAAAAAAAAAAAGAAACAAATCTGCAGGAAGAGCGCCTCATCTTTTGAGTGGAGAGCAAAACTCTGCTAGGGTGAATTTTGAAAAACATTAAAACAAATTGTCAAACAGGACTGATTTTTTTTGTTTGGGCCGAAGAATATGTTTTCCCTGAAGAATACATTTTT